TTACTTCGTGTTGAACAGAAGTTAACAGCCTGACCTTATATACTTGACACCGTATGGACAGGTGGCGGAAACCAATTAATTCTTTTTTTGTAGAAGGCGGCTAGTTTTTGTTAAATGTTTGATGGGAAACTTACGGACAAGTTGTGACAAAGGGCTGTTGAGAATCGCTCAGGAAGTGTTAGTGAGAAGGATTTTGAGCCACTTTTACAGTTTCAGCTTGTGAAAGAGCTGTCAGAGGACAGTCCTTGGGGAAAAAATGGAGGTACTTTGGGGAAATTAGATAAGTTTGCTTGCACTGACTGTCAATTCATGTACATGTAGACACAGCATTGCCCACAGCATGCAAACACATACAGTGGTACTTTTAGAATGCACAGTTGCACATGCATCTTCCTGTAGATGTTGTTTTCCATCTGATGGCAACATTTCTCTGTCCTAGTACATCAGTGTTTGCCTGATCTGCTTAGCTGGATAAGCATTTGTCCAAGCATGATGCAATAGATTGTGGGAATGACCAACAGGCATCCCACATTGCATTGCAGTAGAGACTGGTTCCCTTCTTGATATGAGGCATGCTGTCCGCATTGCATGAAAGTGGCATCCAGAAACCAGACATGCACTAAATTTATCATTTAACATTATGCAGCATTTCTTGTATGTAGTATTTATAACATTACACAATGTTAATACAGTGTGAAGACCAGTAATCGAGTTTTGATTGGTGAAGGAGCTTATAACCAGTCACTTGGTTTGGGGGTACCGCTGTAAAAAATTCACCAAATGCAGGAATTTGTTGAGGTCTGTTCTAACATGAAGTGCAAACTCCTCAGTGTTGCATTTTTGCAACTGTTCTCACAGATATTGTTTTTGATATCAGCCATTGTACAAAGATTTCAAAGTCTGTGTTTTAAATTTGAAGGCATACACGTGCCTTTTCAGAATGACCCATTACTTACTGAGCAGTATCATTATGCATGACTGTATATGTAGCAATGGGCATTATCTTTAGAAATTCATGTAGCTGACAGTGAAACACATGACTTCCTGTCATAACCTTAACTTGTCACAACTTGCAATCAGAGCTTTGGACAAATTTACACAATATTGCCATATGTATGAGATATGAATGCAGACACATATGGGAACAGCAGTTTTTCCAGGGGATTTCCTGAGGAAGAAATGGGGAAATTTTAAAATACATGTCCCAATGCCATTTTCAGTGGAAAGCTTTAGGACAAGCGATTTGACTTGAGTAATCTGCTTCCACAAAATGAGAGTCAGACAGCCAAGTCCTCTTGTTTCAGAGAACTTCATCAATTCAAAGCCACAATTCCCTCAGCTTAACCTCTTCAATCTGCTCTGTCAGATATCCTCCGAGATTAGCCAGAACATCAGCCAGACAGTACTGCTTCATTGCTGTCTTCAGTTTTATTGAAATCTTATTGCTGCTTTGTGGGGCGACTTTACTCTCATCTTGCGACTGCAGGTTACACGGCTTTTATTTCTCACAAATTTTCCTTCTAATCTATTGCTTTTTTTTGGCCTTTTTTTTTCGAACAGGATGTTGACAGATTCTTGGCGACCCTTTGCAGTAAGACTGTCAGCAACAACTAGTAAGATAACGACAAATTCACACATAGTTTCACATGACAACATTCCATAGTTTGGAAAGAAAAAATCTAAATTGGAAGATAATGACTTCCGTGGCTCTGAGCAGAGGTGTCAACAAGTTCTGGGCGGTCTGATCCTGAGATATGCAATCTTATCATTTTCTCCATCCCAAACTTTGGCGAAGAATGTCAGAATAGCTTCCTTTTCCTGCGTGAAGTAACTTGGACAAGTGTGAATCTGCCTAGGTACATTTGAGGTCATCGCAGGTTTTTCAAGGATTGTTTTGTTATTTTTCAACAAATGCTAGAGGCAAAAGCAAGGTACCCATCAGAATTGTACTCAATGAACACATGTACACCATTATTTAAAACAAAACTACCAGAACTTCTTACAAAAAGGGACAATTGCAACGGTTCTTGCAGTTTGGCACTGTGTACATAATATTTTTGTATAGTTAATGTGAAGATGAGTGGTGGTAGCATTACATATGATCTGAAACAAGAATTTTTCTCCGTCCAAAGACATGAAGTTATATATATAGTGCCTTCAGGCTTTTAATTGAAACATAGGCCGTTTTCTAATACTCGACTTGGGCTCCGTCTCAGGCTTCAACTGTTTTTTACTTCCTGTCTTTGAGGTTGTAAGCGCAATAGTAAGTCTGATAGTGGCACAGAACATCAAGTAAGATGCAAAAGAGCCAAATATTACATGACAGTACTTCAATTTAAGTTAAACGCTTCAGACCCACAATCGGGGATTGGTTTCCTACACGAAGCCTGAGACGGAGACGAAGTCGAGCATTGGAAAACGGCCATAAAAAAGTTCTACCACCTGATCGCTAGAGGGCGCTGTTAGCATGGTCTGTAAAATAAACCTTTGGCTCTCTTGACACAAGACCTTTGTCTAGAATGAGTGGAAATGCTTGCACGAAATTTTGATTAATTTATTGGTTTGAAATTGTATATGTGTATGTCATTTCTGAACACTTTACAAACCAACCTAAGGAACAATATATCCCACATTTTGCTCCATTTTTACTGAAAAATTCTGTTTCCTGTAAATAAAACAACTAAACATCCAAACGATCGGAATGTACATTGTGCGGAGATTCAATTTACTGATGCTGATCTTTTGTCAGGTGTGCTGTACCTATAAAAGACAACTCATTCATTAAGGTATCAAAAGCAGAGATTGGGTCATCATGTTTTTCCCAAGTCACAAATACCCAACTTTCATTTGTCTGTAAAACAAAAATTAGAAGCTCTGGAACTGAGATGAGAAAAAGAGGGGGGATAAAAAGCCAAAATTTGTCTGGATTTTCAAAACACCGAGTGTTTGCTTATGTTTTACCACTTCAGCACTTGACAGAGCTTGGTACTTAAAAAAGGCACCCAGTGGACCGCAGCAGGGTAGAGACTGCCCAATTTGGGCAGATCTTGGCTCCTGACTAGCTTCTGTTTCCTCCACTTGTGATAACAGTCTAATCCGGGGACCACTTGTCTCTGGTTTGTTGGCGGTCGGGGCAGCCAAGGGCCAGAGCCCCTCAAGTGGAAAGGGGCTGGCCGGCCCGGATGTAGCGGATCGCTTGGGGTACTGAGTGATGGTTTCTTAAAGGCAGACATTCCTGTAATGATTGCGGTCGGGCCTGATTGTTTTATGGCAACTTGTTCCTGAGGAGGACATGTGCTGTGATAGAAGAATGAGGGTGAGGGAAGGGGGACGGGGCAAGCAACTGGTCTTGGGAGAATCATTATAGGCTACGTACATGTACATGCAGCGAGGATTTGGGCAAAGACAGTTTCAGTGGTGTAGTTTCCTGACAACTTTGTGAGAGAAATACAGCTTTATTAACAATCAGTGAAAATACAAAGCATTATTATCAGAATTTTTCTTTAAGCTTGATAAGATTTTGCTAACCAAAATCAGGCACGCGCTGCAAATTTGTCTGCATTGTGAGGTCAGTTTAGCTTTCGGCAATCCATTTCTAAACCACAAGTAGGCTCTGTTTCGATAATGGTTTACATTCTTACCCCATGCTTTAAGTTCCCATACCAAGCTGTTGCGGCTGTCCCAACAATTATTTATTCCTTGATTGATTCTTAACTCTTCTTCTTTGACACATGTCCTCGCAGTAACCCCCAGCAATGACATTTGTCATTGCCTGCCATCCTCGTTACCGTCTCTCGCCACTGTCATTACCATACCATTTTCCTTCACCCCATGGGGTGCAAATAACAACAATGACGATTGTTAACGTAAACACGATATCTGTGGGAGGCAACAGTAAACCAATTAGTGTAGTGCTCTTCAAGTTTTTAGGAAGCAGACTTGCTGTATGCCATTTCGTGAGGAGGGTGTATCGACTGAACTCTTGAAAATGTTAAGGGGCAGTACTCCTGATCAAAAAAAGTTTGACTTCAGGAATTTAGTAGGCAACTTCAAGGGAATCATTTCAGGCCAATTCACTTCACTATTTATGTCCAACTATAACTTACAGTCGTTCCTTTTATAGGTTAACACAGACTTGTTCAAAGTCATGATTTAAAAAAAAAAATTAAGTTTTTTTTAAAATGTGGTGGTTGCTGTTTACAGTCACATGAGGAATTTGAATGTTTCTGACAGCCAATAAAGGATCCTATTTCCACTTTACTTAATTATGAAAAAGCTTGAAACAAAAGAAAAACACCTCCTATCGGTGCCGAATGCCATTACTACAAAAAGACTTGCACATTAGTTTTGATACAGCATTTCAGACAACATTGTGCAGACTGCCCAAAACGTGAACGCTGTTTAAGTCATCATGAGCTCCACCTAATCAAGTTTCTCATTCCATACCAAGGTAAATGGCACATGGTGAAGGAAGGAAAATCAGACAAGGGGGAGGGGGCGGTACATGTAGCTTCATGACTCACTGTGACATTTACAAAGCCTCCTTCAGTACCACAACCCACAAGTTAGACAATGGCGACCTGCGGCTAGAAAGAATCTGTGACTAAGAAAGAGTGCGGAGAAGTTGAGCCAGCGATGGCTGAACGTTGAAAGAAAGAGAAAAAAAAATCAATGCAACGTTTCTCTTGGGGCCCATATACACTTGGTTAGTGTTAGGCCTCAGGGGAAACAGAACTGTCAAAAGCTAACTACAATCACAGATGTTTTTGGTGTATACGGTAATTAGTGACATTGTTGATTCAAGTCAGGTGGTGATGGCAACTTATATCCTGTCGAAACATCACGCACGTGCATACATGTCTCAATCTTTTTTTTTTAAGATGAGTTCAGGGGGTTTGGGCGGTTTGGAGTGTTCAAGACCATCAGTTTGGAAGACTAGACTTTTGATAAATGTTAAGGATGTTGAATTTTTGGGCAGAAATGGAGAGGACTCCGAGGTGTATCGGGGGGGAGGTAATATTCCACATTTTCATTCATTGATCATGCCTGGAATTGTTTCTTTGGAGTTAAGAGTCCATCCTCTTCTACACCTTAACTTCTGTTTTTCAAATCTCTCTCCTCCCCCGCTCAAAAAAAAAATGTTTCAGCACTTAGAAAATACTGCCAGCCTTTGACGAAACTTGGTCCGAAATCCATTCTTGATCTGAGTCATCCTAGGCACCCAAAATCTCATTTCTCAACCTGGTTGATTTTTCTCTGGTGTTTGGGACCAAGTTCAGTATCTGGGTCTTATGTGGCCTGGTCTTCGTCACGTCAACTGAAATAGATGAAAAACATTCAGAAATAAATCTGGGCTTTGCCAGACCGGTAGAAAGACGGGAAGAGAAATGGAAGAACCACCTGTCATAATTTAAAGCAGTCTGTCCTGCAGACTTCAACAATTTCCTCATCAGTTGTTATCGCCGTACTGTCATATGGGCATTAGACATGTATATCTCATGAAACACTGAGTGGCACATTTAACCAACTGGGTTCATGGGTCCCCCCTGGGATGGGAACAGCCGAGTGCATTACTTCCTGAAATGTTCACAATTGCAGTTAAATCTCCCAAGGGCACGAGTGCTCGGGGTCACTTTCATGAAGCTGCTAAGGAAGCGCAGTGGCACATCCTTAATAGGTAAGTTGGTAAAAGTGAGATGCTTCTCCACAGGCAAGAGTTTTTATTGCTGTTGCTTTTTTATGGCTTTTCAGGAGATTCAACGAAGGGCACGTTTGGTGTGGTGTCAACTGAACTGTGCTTCAAAACGCATTAACTAATTAGCATTAGCATGTGGTAGAAACCTATCACCATGCACAGGCATAATCCATTCATAGCATCTGGTGAGTATAATACCGTAATTAAATCCTTAGACAAACACATTGCAAAACACATGCGATTCTCTGGCGTGTGTGCCCATTCGGCCTGTTCATCGATGCACCATGTCATGCGGATGCTGTACATCATATTCAGCTGCAAACTTCATGCAACGGCTGATTCAGCTGAACATTTTTGGAACGTGCATCATGTGCACACGGTGAGAGAAGTCTCATAAGTCTGAGAAACTTCAGATGCGTACGCAGTTGCAGCATCTGCTTTGAGAGCGTGTGTGTAAATTGCTTCTTTACAATACTAGCATGTATCGCACTCAGGCGTACATGTGAGGCTCACGTTCCAAGCTGTTTAGAGGGCATGGCTAAATCACCAGTGGCAGTCGACCTATTGTTCTTGATCGATGCCCTGTTGATTTTATTTATCACATCATTGCAGCTTGTTCAGCAAGATTTCTGCTACACAGCTCTGGGTTATATAGTAGATCCCGAATGCAGAGCTACATTCAGGATAGTTGAAGGACCCACTGTTATCTGCAAGGGGGAAGTGTGGTCCGTCAATACGCCCCTCGGTTTAGAAACATGCTTTGCCTTGTGAACTCTTCTTTTCAGAGAAATTTCTCATTTTGGCTCTCAACTTGAGCGGCAATGGTTCCACAGATCATGACCCAGCGCTATCAGTGTACGGCACGTTTGTGTCGCTGAGTATCACATAACATGCCCTCTGGGTACTCACGAGTTTTCAGGTGCTTTGGGGGGGAAAGTGCCCAATATCCTGCCAGTTACTGTGTTGGCCAACTGGGCGGAAATTACTGAACATGACTGGCGCATGAATGTACCGGTACCTAACAATATCAAGTCATGAACATATCTGCCAACCAGAACTTCACACACTGCCCATAAACATCAACAGGTTATTAAGTTATTCGGTTTTAACCCGGGTGAGAGAATGGTACAGTAGGTGAAAAGCAGTTAAAAAGAACTGCTCTATTTTTTCTTTCCACAGTTTGAATATACATGTACATGTGACACCTGTCTGTTCTTTGTGGTTATTAGCTTTGTACAAGGATTTCTTCCACTTTCTACAAATAGTTTCTCTTTGGGGGAATTGGGGTTGGCAGTAATGTGCAAGCATGTGTTAATCAGTTCCGTATTACATCAGTTTCCAACCTGAATGCATGATTGACACAGGAATAATCCTTACTTCGCTGTCATCCACTTTGGTTGGGTTCCATTGACAAGCCATCATGCAAGTAGCATATTGGCAGCCGTGGTTCTGCTCTAGACAATTTCAGGAGAAAGAAACATTGACATTTATTGCCTATTTCCAAAACATGACCCGAGGTGATAAAGTCCTTAACTGGTAGGGCCTGGAAGGTCTATTCACTGC